ATATAATACAATTATATAACTTATAATTTTTATATTATATACATAAATATAACTTATAATAATTAATTTTATTTACATCTGTGCAAATGCACAAGGTCGAATACTAGTAAGGTTCTAAACAAATCACTTCTTCTATCCGTGCATTCGTAAGAGTTTAAATTTGAAATCGAATTCGAGTGGTCTTTAGTATTACAAATTTATATGAATATGAATTTGAACATATTCTATTCGAAATTATCGAATTCGATTCGTTAATAATAATTATATTAAATATTAAATATAATATATTTTATAGCATACAACACTCTATTTATATAATATATATTAAATATGATTATAAAATAACAAATTATATTAAATATAATTAAAAGTATATTTTTGTATATAAAATAACAAAAATGAATTTCGAATATATAACAAAAATATACTTTTAATATAATTTGTTATATTAAAAACATATATTTTAGAAATATAACAATATTTTAAAAATGAATTTCGAACCGAATATATCGATTATCTTAATTGAATCGAACAAGAATCACAAATTAAATTTGGTAACGAATCGAATACTCGTATGCATAGTCGAATAATTTGACGAATCTGAATCAAATAGTTGAGTGTTCAATTCAATTTGATTCATTTACATCTTTACCCACAGATGGTGTGGTGTGCAACTATAGGATAAAGAGTGAATTTTAAACAATTACAAAAAGTTATCTAATGTAATTTAAAATTCTTCAATTGCTATTATCATTTATTGGATTTGATATTGCAGATCAAATTAAGGATAAGAAGAATAGATGTGGAAGAACAAAACGGTTGTGTATTAATGAAAATTACATAATAGAAAAAGTAGGATTTTGTGTACAAGGAATAGTGTATTGACACGTATCCTACAATAAATACACTATGAATATGTGTCAATACATTAAATGATGAGTGACTCAATAAAAAAAATCATCCGATGATTCCATAAAATTTTTAAAAGTAATTATTAAACAAATATGATCGTGCAAAATGAGATAATGGCCTGCACTATATATGTGTGGTCAACGTCTTCGTGAACACGAAAATTAATCGTGAGATGGCTAGGTATTAAGGATATTGACTTAATCTTATAATTCTATGTTCTCATTGTCAATGCAGTGTGATGAAAACGTGTTTTCTAGAAATGTTTAATTGATTGGAAAATGGTGGAAGTCCATTGTCAGGTATCATTTCTCAATTTTTTATTAGATAAAGAAATTCAATGAATAAACGAAAAACTAACTAACTAAATTGCATTTTGATATGGAACGTTAGAAAGAAGATCAACGACCATTTTAACATCTATATATATATATATGCTGGGGGAAAAAAAGAAGAAAAAATACAGTTGTTGGCAAACATCTCTTATTTTTGCTAGAAAAATTGATTTCTAGTCCTGCAATAATTCTACCATCCTTCTCAAGAATAGCTTAAGAATGTGAATTTTATTTTATTAGAAAAGGCTTAGATATATAGCTGTTGGCGGTAAAAATAATGTGATATACCAAATTAATAATCCCGACATGTAACATACATGTTATGCCAAATTGTATGTTTGAAATTGATGTTTATTTAACATAATATCCCTAACTTACTTCGTAATTAAGATTTTGCTTTAAGTCATATATAGAGCTTGGTGGAAATCACCTAATATGAGGCATATCCAACTAACAATTAAGTAAACCGCATTAAGCGCAACATGCGCTTAGAATAGGTTCATAGAGGTAAAAGTTCTAACTGAACATGGCCATTACAAAAGCTTTTCTCAAAGGTTTGCAATTTTAATTTCTTTTGTTGTTATATATGTTAGTTATATAGAGTGTATTGATGTATTGTACGTATGTATGTTAGTTATATAGAGTGTATTGATGTATCAATTGTACGGTAGGTTTTGACCCAACCTAAAGTTAAAGCCCGTCAATGTATTTATATATGTGTACACGTCTTTGATAATAATACAAGAAATATTTTTCACACATTATCACATAGTATTGGACTAGGGTTAGGGTCAAATATAGACTTGGTCTTTCGTCGCTCGTCTCCAGCCACCGTCGACTCTAACCACCCCCGTCATCCTCTCCGGCGTCCCGAGGCGCGAGCCTTCGCCGGAATACTCAGAACCATCACCGGCGCGCGCGGCCCACACGCGCTTTATCTCCATCGCAGCGCCGGAAGCTTCGACTGGCACCGACGCCGCTCGTCGCTGACTTTCAGCCTTCGACTCTTGTCAACGCTGGCTATCTTTTGGTATGATCAGATTTGGTATTCGTGACCTTTTTAATTTCTGCCCGTACTGATATCTTGTTTTGTTCGTGATCCGATTCATAATTTGATTTCATCTGCTTTGTGATATTGTTGGTGATTATCTAATTTTGAATATGGATCTTCTGGATGTGCATTCTCCTATCAGTGTTATCTTATCAGGAGATATTTTTAGTTTTTGAGTACAATCTATGAAAAGGTTTTTAATTGGGAGAAAATTGCGGCGAATTGTTACTAGTGATGTATTTCCACCTATTCATCAGTATCTTACATGGAATAATATAAAAATAAAAAAGTAAAAAAAACATATTGGATAATATATATCTATATATTATCGCTGCAAATTCGAATGTATTTATAAAATATTGCCAAGATGTTCATACAAACATTATATTATAAACCATGAAAGTAATGTTTTTTTTCTAATTTTTAAAAATATTTATTTTCTTAGTTTTTGTGTTTATGAATTATTATTTTTATAATTAAGCTTATTTCATGTTTTTTCAAATGGATTTAATATAAAAGCGTGACATAATTTGTAAAATTTTAAAATATATGGCTTGTATTGAAAACTTTAAAGTTAGTGTGAGAGAGAATATTCTAAAAATATGCTCTTAAGTTTGATAATGAAGTTTTCGGTTAGAGAAGAATTACTGTTTGATGTGACAGTTACTAGGATTTGAGAATGAATTTTTTGATTAGAGATGACGTTAGAAGGAAAGGTAATTGTCTTATATAAATAGGTATGATTATTATGGTCTCTAAGCGAGGAAGTCATGCGAGATTCACGTACGCAGAGAGGACCGATTTACTGAAAAATGTACTGCTAATTTCAATTCTCATTTTTTTTTTATTTACATTTATGAAAATATCCATAAGATCCCCAGCTAGAGCCACTTGAAACGATTTTCTAGTTGAATTCCACTTCTTCGGCCAAAGCTGTTATAAACTTTAGTTACTTTAGGTTGGATTTTATCAAAATCTATATATATATAATTGCTAGCCAATCCCATTTAATAAAACATTTAATAAAAATATTTTCATTTTCCCTCTAAAAGAAATTACATTTTTTTAATTAACTAGTATTCAACCTGTGCATTTGCACAAATATAAATAAATTATTGTGAGTCTGTACATATAATGATTAATTATTTTTCTTTCACTTTTTTGCAGACCAATTTTACAATTAAAAAAGTTGGAATATTTTTTTTTTAAATTGCGTTATTTGATTGGATGTAATGTATATTTTGGTACGTCTTTTATTTTTGAATTATTTATTATTTATTTAGAAATTTCAAATATATTTTTTATTTTAAAAAAAAAAAAATTTAAATGTAACAAAAGTTTAAAATGATTTTCTATACGGTCATTAATCAAAAGTTTAATGATCAAAAATATAGTTATACGGTCACATTATACGGTCAACACAAGGTCAACACATTATATGGTCAACTGTCATTAATCAAAAGTTTAAAATGATTTTTGTAATTTTGAAGTGATGAGTATTAATTATTTAATGATTAAATGAAAGATTAAATACATCAAAATGTAAAGGTTTTTGGAGGGAAAATTGTTAAATTGCCACATAGGTAAAATTAAATAGGTTTTATTAAATTCTATTAGCTAGTAATTATATATATATAGATTACTCATTAAACTCACATTTAAGAAGGTTTTTTATAGTTAAATTTAATTAGTTAATGACTAAATTAAAAAAAATTATTTTAATTAATTCCACATTTATGTTAAGTACAGTATTATCTTAATATCTTATCAGTTATTCAAAAAAATAGTAACTTTTTTCAATAAATTTTATAAAAATTAGTCAAATATGCTTATATTCATATAAATCAGAAAAAAATTAAATCTTAGATATATAAAAAGAACATCGTTGAAATAACTTGAATCCGCAAGGGTAATTCTATACTCATTATCAATTACTTTAAATTTTTTGTTTATAAAAATAATATTATATTTACTCATTTATATTTAGATGGTATTTTTTTATTAAGAAGCAAGGACAATCTCTATGACATGATCAATAAGAGTCGAGGACAAACAATATAAAGAAGTGTTTCCTATGCTATGACATGATCAATAAGAGTCAAAGACAGTCTCTGTCGCACGTCGGCTTACTACTGAAGAGCTCTGCATTTAGTCATGAGCAATTATACGTGGCGCTTTTTAGAGTTACGAGTCAGTGGGGTTTGAAGATTTTGATTTGAGCTGAGGGAGATTTTGACGATAGAAAAACCACGACGTTATTTTATAAAGAAGTGTTTAAGAATATTTATATTTTTTTCTTAATTTTTTTCAATGAATTTGTTATGATTTTTACTATTGTTTATAATTTTTATTATTTTTTCATGTATCATATAGTTTTCCGTGCAAATGCACGGGACAAAACTAGTATAATATTTATTTTGCAAAATAAAATACATGTACAATTTAAATAGATATAATTTTTTTGTACTTATAATAAATGCCGAACGATTTCACAAAAAATGTGCACAAATAATTAAGTATCCATGCTATTAATTAAACATTGATGCCACACCTACAAAATTATTTTCTACAAGCAAAATTCTCGGGATAATTGCAGAAGGCCTTAATAACTAATAACGAATACAAATAACGTAATTCACAAATTTCTGGACCACCATACTTCCAATTATATGCTGTATCCAATAGTTTGTAAATGGACTATGAACTTATGGGCTGTAGAATGTGGGCCCACACTTACACATCCATCCCTCTGGCTCATAATTTGTATACTGGACTCCTACATGGGCCGTAGTGGTAGGCACCTGAATAGGCTCACAAGGACTGCACCCGTAACACTTGCGGTCACAGCTTGGTGGGCCTGACCCAATTTTATTAATTTCCTTGTTGGCCCTCTTTTCTTCCAGTAGCTGTAGTTCTATTCTTTTATGAAGTCCCTTATATTTGAAATTATACAAAATAAAACAAAAATATGACTGGACAAAATATATATTATGTAGGGAGTGAATTATCATTTTCGCGTCACGCATTAAGATCAAAATCCACATAATTATATTATAAAAAAAACTAAATGAATTTGATCTCAATCTAGGCATTCAATTCCCTTTAGAACAAAATGAAAGGGTGTAATAGGAAGATATAAGTACCTGGCTTGAGCTCTGAGTTATTTGCATTACCCTTGAAATTTGATTTTCGATCGTCTCTGATAAGAAGATGTGGCACATGAAACTTAATTGCAATAATGAAAAAGTTTTTTTTTTTTTTTTTTNGTTGAATAAAATAAATTGCGTAAGCCAGTTGGGAATTATAACCAAATAAATTATTTTTTAAAAGGAAAGAGAAGTATAAATAGAAATAAAAGCATGGATTAATAAAAGAAGCAAAACAAAATTACCCGGGTGGAAATGTGGGGTTGATGTACCAACCAAACCAAGAATGTGCAGAAACAAGACAATTATAAAGCAACAAAACATTGTTCTCATTTTTAATAAACAAAACAAACACAAGTTCACTGTGTGTTTTAGTATGAACGTGTGCGAGAGAGAGAGAGAGAGAGAGAGAGAGAGAGAGATAAATATAGAGAGAGGACAGCGGGAAAGTGCTAAAAGTGTGCCGGGGAAAGAGACAAAATTCTCTATTTCACCCAATAAAATAAAAATAAATAGAGACAAAAAAAAACTATTTATTAATTTTAAACTCTCACTGTGATTTCTCAGTTGGAGAATGAGGCTGACACAAATGGAAATGTGATGCTTCGCAGACAAGTGCATATAAATTATGGATATATATATATATATATATAAAAAGAGTTGAAAGTGAAACACATGTTTATTTTTAAATACTATGTTTGGAGGCTCTACTATTTTTTGACATCTGTTATAGTCATTTAAAAGCTTTTAGTCTATGTGTTGGAAAAAAAATATTTAATTCATTATAATTAAATAATAACAATAGTTCATCATCATAAATCACATTAACTTTAAATCACTATTTATTAACTCTCATAATTTTAATTGCTCATTACTTTCGATCACTTCTCTACTACTTTTACATCAAATAAACTTTAATCATGTTATTTTAAATATGTTATATACAAACTTAAAATCTCACTCAAATCTAATTCAATTAATTTTTTATAATTAATCAAGATAACCAATCAAAACTAAAATATTGAACCCAAAACTTATATCCAAGCACAGCCTTCGCCCTTTTTGATGTCACTGACTGTACTGAACTAATGTAATCAAATTTGGCATATGGTATTGATATTTTACCAAAAAAAAAAAAGGATGAAACCCACAAATTAAACCTAGTTGGTGGGTGATTAAAACAAAAAATTGAATATATGAAAATCGTGTTATCAGGATTAGTCGTAAAGCACTAAAGCACCATAAGATCAGACCTGAAATGTTTCACTCAATGGGCTGTGTTTTCTGCAAGTCATCTGAAGTGATTTGATTACTCGCTGGAAAATCTGAATGTAGTACATTTGACATTTGACTCGGTCTCATATCAAGCCTTTGATTTGTTTCTCATGTTTTTTTTTTTTTTTTTTT